AAATGAGATATTATGAGTTGACTATACCCAATTTCTCATTATAGTTATCAGTATACATACTTTCTTGAGCAGACACATGGTAACAAGCCTTCTGAGAGAAGGATTCTCTAAGGTCTGTTATTTAGGACTCAGGGAAGGCCTGTTGAGTTACTGAGAGCCACAGAAGTTGTTTGCTGGGCAATCTAATCAGGAGGTCTCCTCGAAGCATTTAATCTCTAAACAAGAGAGTAGGTTTTCACCAAATGAATTCTTGTCTTGGGATCCAAATCAGAGCCATGCAGCTATGCAATCTAGGAACAGATGTTGCCCAGTCAGGTGTCTTTGAGTCTTCTTGAGAAACCATAGGACGCTGGCTGCAGACAAATCATCAGCCCTGTAAGAACAGAGGAATGTCTGCTTGCACTGTGGGCCTACAGAGGAGCACGGCACAAAGCAGCACACAGGGGAAATGACTAGGGCTGGGTTACAGGTGCAAAGAAGTGGCGACTGGCTGGTGTCTCTTTGTACTTCCAAGCTGCTTTTTAGTGAAGTTAGCTATTAAGACATCTGTGGCAATTATTCAAGCGAAAATCTGTTGATAACAAGGAGCACATTCTAACCATTTAGAATACCATGAAACTAAGATTAGTGCACAGGAGTATGTGCCTTAAGATATTTTTTGATTTTAATAACTTTAATTAAACTCATATCTAGGGCCATGAAGGATGAAGGATGGAGGAAAAATAGCCAATGAGATGTAGACTAATATGTATTAAGTATCTTACAGTGAGGAAGGATATTTTCATAGTTTATCATTTTATTAATAGCATTTCTGCATGTTTGGTAATAATGTTTCCATTTTATTGTGAAGAGGGTTAGAATGTTTAAATAAATTGCCCAAAGTCATTATATAACTGAAGTTCAAATCCATGTTTTTCTGACAACAGAAACCATGCTTTTTACTACTGCCTCAAAATTACTAGATTGTTTCTTTTTTAAGGAGTCAAAACTTACTCTTAAATGAATTTTTTACTCTAATTTCAATTTGCTTTTGTGAACAGGTTGTTAGAATATTTATAAATAATTACATAGTTTTAAAATAATGCTGATATTTTTTATAATTTGACCTAGCTTCCTAATAAAAAGGAAAATTGCATTCTTTGCTATGGCTTTCAGGAACATGTTTGGTTGCCTATCGAGCATTCATTTGCCCCCCACTTACTACTTGCAGATTCTGTTCAGATATTTATTCCTGTACCACAAAATCCATAAGTCCTAGGAAAAGCAAGCCTGACTCAATGTCAGGGGCTTCCCCCAATTGTGTAAGGTTAATCATATTCCCCATCCCAGGGTTTGGTTTTGGACTGACCATGTGATTTATTTGGTGTCTGTAAAATGTAATGAGGGAATTTCCTGAAGTTTCTGGGTAAAGTTATAATTGGTTTCATAGACTTTCTGGTTGCCCACATTCTTTCTTTCCCACATTGCTGCTCTTGGCAGTGAAGTCCAGAACTTCTACAGCCATCTTGCATCCTTCCTGAGGCTATAACATCCCATAAAGAGAAAGGCCATGCCAAAAGATTGATGTTCCTATTGTTTAAGCAGATTTGAATTAGATTTTCTGTAACTTTCAGCCAAAGAATCAAAGTATCTTACATGCCCAGACCAGGAAATTTTTTTCTAGATCATACATTTATGTACAACTCTTTGAAATCTATCTTCTGTCATTAGATCATTTCTTTTGCCTCCCTAATTTCATAGATTAACAAAGTTTCAGTGTGAAGTGGCTTTCAATGGATACAGTCCTACTAATTAACTTGAACCATGGGTTCCTAACTCCAAAACAAACTTCAAGCTTTTTTAAAAATCTAGTATAGTGGGAAGATAAATTAGGTAGAACTCTCAAAGACACTGGCATAGGAAAAGACTTTACAAACAGATCCTCAGTAGCACAGGAACTAGTACAAAGAATCAACAACTGGGACCTCATCTTATTAAAAAGGTTCTGCACTGCAAGAGAAACCACCAACAGAGCTAAAAGAAAACCTACAATTTTTAACAACTGTTCCTCAGAAAAAAGGTCTACTATCTAAAATATATAAAGAATTTAAAAAATCAGACCCCCCCAAATATAAAGACCCAATTAAAAAATAGGTATCTGAATCGATAATTATCAGATCAAACTTATCAGACAAACAAGTAAAAGCAGCATATAAATATATGAAAAATATGTTCAGCATCACTGGTCATTCGAGAGATGCAGATGAAAATAACACTGATTCCACCTCACCCCAGAAAAAAATGGCTATCAAGAAATCAACCAATAACAAACACTGGTGGAGGTTTGGGGAGAAAGGAAGCCTTCTCTGTTGTTGGTGGGAGTGCAGACTGGTGCAGCCATTGTGGAAATCAATATGGAGATACCTCAAAGAACTAGGATTAGAGGTCCCGTTTGATCCAGCCATCCCTCTGCTGGGTATCTTTCCAAAAGAATTTAAAGAATCACACCACAGTGATATATGGGCACCTATGTTTATAGCGGCACAGTTTGTAATAGCTAAAATTTGGAAACAGCCCAATTTCCCATCAGTTGGAGACTGGATAATGAAGATGTGGGGTTTTCTATAAAATGGAATACTACTCAGCCATAAAGAATGAGAAGCTAGAGTCATTTTAAAAAGAATGAGAAACTAAATGGATGCATATTTGAGGTCATACTCTTAAGTGAAATAAATAGGACACACATGCATAAATACCAAATAGTTTCTCTGGTGTGAAAACCTAAATTGTAAATAAGGTTCAAATTGCATAATTGATAATGTAAAATAGGAAGAAAGGGGCTAAAGGAGTAGAGGAAGTGGGAAGGGTATGGAAAAGGAAAGGAGGGAAAAGAAAAAAGTACAAGAAAAGAAAAAAATGGAAACAAAGCCTTTGTAAATAGGGAAGGGTGGAGGGGAGAAGGCAGATCAGGGGTATGAGGAAAAAATAAGAACCATGATACATCATGTAAAGGTACAAGATCCCAATGGTGAATGTTACTGTACTGTATACCTACAAAGTAGCAATAAACTTAATAAAAAGAAAAATCTGTTATAACCCAAGGTGAAATGAAGAGCAAGAGAAGAGTTAAGTTCATTACTACTTTCTAATGTAAAACAATAGAGCAATCTTGATTGTACCTTTACATGATAGTAAAAGAATTTTTTTTTTTTTTTTTCTAACTCAGTTTCTGGAATCCAATAAATAACTGGAATGCCTGCATCACTTCTTTATTTTTCTTTCTTCTTTTCTCAAGTCTTGAGTAAGCATTCCCCTCTGCCCACAACTATCAACCCATCAAACACATCATCACTGTCTGCTTCCCATCTCTCTCACTCAGTTGACTGAAAGCAGAGAAAATGTCTAGTTCATCTTCGGAGACCTACTTCTGACATGCAGTATCAGTTCATCCTCATTTGTAGACTCAAGCTAGGCTTTAGCAATCTACTTGGAAAATTTGGGGAGCAAGTCATTCTGCAGAGTTTAAGTTTTGTAGTTTTTGCTTTTTGTTTTCTTTTAAATTCAGAATCTAAAGAGCAAAAACTTCTGTGGTTTAAGTAAATACACTTACATTTATTCACTCCCTTTCCTGAAAGTGCAGGTGGTTTTCCTAGTTTTCTCTTTTCAGACTCACCGATGTTTTTTTATTCAAAATTTGGCTTCCCTTTGTATCTGGCTGTGAAATAAACTTTTTTCAGAAACCCATGTACTTTCATTTTTAATTGAAAAGAGGAACATGCAAACATTAGATCAGGTGGGAACTTGACATTACTCCTGCAAATCTTATTTTAACTTAGTATTTTGATTTTAAAATAGATTTAAATATGTTTAGCATTTTTATAGAAAAGTGTTACCTATTCCTTTTGAGGACATGGAACTGTAAATTCTGTAATTAGTACAGTCAGAACTGCAGAATTCTTCCTGAAAAGCTGTATTCACACAGATGGAGTTTACATAAAGCATTTCCAGCTAAATTTTCAGAGTTTCTTTCATGTTGAAATTTCCCACAGCATGGTACATGAGAAAGAACATTCAAGGAGGTGTCATAAGACCTATATTTTCCAGCCCCAGCTGCTCCTCAAATTCATTGTGCTAGAGTTAAACGGTTTGCCCAATCTTTGCTATTTCTATGCGTAGAAATTATATATTGTCTGAGACGGGAAATGTGATTCAATTCAGTTTCTCACCATTCAATATATTTAGTAGCTTATTGGGCATCCCTGGCCT